CCGGTAGTTCACCGATCTGGCCTTTTTCAGCAGATCCACCACGATCTGCCGGAAAGGCCATCAACTTGAGAAGGCTAGATCTGGCCGAAAGAATGATCAAAGTGGCCGTCGTTGTCTGTCAATGATGGCCAAGATTTGGCCATCGTTGACAGTCAACGACGGTTACATTTTGGCAGTCACTTTTCGACCAATCTGGCCTTCTTACGTCAGATCTGGCCTTTTCCGGCCAGATCCACTGTAGATCTGGCCGAAAAGCCAGATCGGTGAATTAATGGCCATTTACGATGGTGCCCCGCCAGAATCTGGCAAGTATGGGTGAGTAGGGGTGTTTTTGTTATTTTTAAACTTTTTTCTGGAGGTATTTAATGGAATTATAACTTAGGGGCTAAAAGTATTAAAAAATAGACTAATATTTCTCAAAGGCATTCTAGTCTTTTCCCTAATGGAAGGTACCTATTTGTCTTTTTGAAACCTTTTGGGTACCAATCTGTCGTTTCTCCAAACCTTGGGTAGGTGTAAGTCGTTTCCCGTTTATAATTGATTAAGTATCATTTAACTAATAATGTATTAGAGTAATGCTATATGCACTAACCAATGTGTACTAATCCAGTACTACACATTGGAAATTGAATTTTTTTTTTTTTTTTTGTTGAGGGAATTTCAAATTTTCAAGTTAATACTCTTGGATTAGTACACATTAGTTAGTGCACATATGTTATTCAATGTATTAATGTTTATCATTTTATTTTATACAATTAATTAATTACTATTTACTATAGATATACTTAGAACTTGTATTTGAAATAAATAACTAAATATATATTATATTCAATCATATCAATACTTTTTTTCAAAAATAATTCTTTTAATAACATTAAATTAATTTTATTGGTCATATTCCAATTATACACTTAATTAATCAAAACTTTAATATTAATATATTAAAATTTTTCTATATGGTATAGTTATATATAATAAGTATAATTGTATATTTATTTAATTAGGTTATTGTAAAAATTTAACTTTTTTCCATTTTAATTTTTTTATGTAAAATTACAAGAGACCCCCCCACTTCTTCACAGATATTTTTTCATGCGCCCGTTCCAAAACAGGGTACCTGCTGCATGTTCTTTTTTTAGGTTCCGGTTCTGGTTCCTCCACATTAGAATTGAAATCGGAACCGCACAGTATCAGTTCCAAAAAAATGGACCGGAACCTACCTGCATAGTATCTGTTCCGGTTCTGTATTCTACTCGCAGTTCAGTTCATTCCCCGCTACCCATGCTCACCCCTAGTTTTGATTCATAAAGTTCAGGTCCCTTCCACTATCCACATATCCAATGACTTACATCCACACACAAGAAATCGCATACAGTTAAAAAAAAAAATTTATTCAAATTACTAATTGGGTACAGCACATAAATGCGGAACCCAATGAGAATTTAGAAATCCAGATGCTTTGACCCCGCTCAGGTTTTGGTAGTCAAATAACCTAGAAATGAGAGAGTCAGTTTGATAAAAACCAGTATTTATCTTGCCATTAACAATCTCAAGTAACAATACTCCAAAGCTAAAGACATCATATTTATCGAGAAGACACTATCAAGAGCATATTCCATGACATTATATCCCTATCATTCAGTAATCAATATGAGTTAATTAGTTTATTCAATAACAGATAGGTGCATCATGCATGCATAAGTTAGGTAAGGATGCTTTATATGGAATGTAGGAGTGTTAAATTTAGATGCATCATTTACTTACTACTTAAGTTCCAACAATCCGCGGTGCTTGCTTGTAGTTCATTTTCTCCAAATATTCTTGCCATTCCGAAATCAGAATTTTAAGATCCATATTTTTATCCAACAAAATATTGACAGCCTTCAATCCCATGAATGATTCACATTATGAGTATTCATGAAGATGGAGAAGCCCTTGACAATCCCTTCAATGATCCGAACACGAGTCCTCCGGCCTACTAACCTGCTTTCATAGGATCTGATTTAGCGAAGTGAATTAGATATAAGCAAGAAACAAGTCAACCCTAATAAAGGGGAACATCAATAATGTGCAATCAAATATATATATTTGAAACCAAGAGGAAGAAATCCAAGCTCTATTCGGAGTGTACTCATAGAGGATATCTTTTCATCTAGTTCAATGCACCAGCCCCGCGAGTCTAACCAGATTCTTGATACAATGTCAACTAACACCCAGAATGCATAAACTTTTTTCTTGATGGTTCACACATGCAATTAGTTTATCTACTGAAGACTGTTTTTTTCTTGTTAGATGTTAATTTTGCACTTGAGTACTAGGAAAGAAAATGGCCAGACTAATTCGGAAAATATAGACCTCTTTATAACAGTTATTTACTGTGGATGCTGTCAAAGATGCCTATGACTACATCAACTAAATTTTTACCCTGTGGTTTGAGAAATCATCAACACCATCCTCTTGTTAATGAAGTTGTTAAGTTACATTTGAATAATCTAAGAAGTGGATTTGTCATCTGATGGCACTATTGACAAAATATTAACTTAGAAAAACAAAAGTTTCATAGAAAATCCCCCGATTTTCAAGTAACAAAAATATTGCCCATAACATTTATATACTGTTTTAGTAGTTTGTAGTTTTATTAATGCCGAATTACATTTCCCATCCTAGGTTTCCGATTGACTTTTTCCACCCCTTAGTTTAAAAACATAATAATTCCACCATACTTAGGCTTTGTTTTATCAAACTTCCACAGGTCAATTACTCTCCGTTTAAAGTTGGCCCACTTTAAAACTAAACCTATTTTAACCCTCATAAATCATTTTAAAATAATTTATTTCAAAATAACTTAAAAAAAAAAAAAAAAACCCTCTAAATTTGTATCAAATTAATTCAAATTGTGTTATTATCCAAATCCAAAAATTCCACCCAGCAGAATTCCAGCGAAACTCAATAAATATCAGCAGAATTTATTATCACAGAACAAACATGTTAATCCACCACAATAAAATTTATTAACCTTTTTCATCAAACTCCATACACCACCATCTCACAACCACATTCAACACCAAATTAAATGTCAAAACTAAAGCAATTTTATTAAAAAAGAAAAAATAAAGTCACAAACCTAAAGAAAATTCACGACTAAAAGGTAGGGATCGCCGGTGAAGGAATTCAAATCGCAGGCAAGTGAGTGGAAACGCTGTTGAAGCGCCACCAACCATGATAAGGGTCGTTGGTCTCTGCCAGGCCGAGATGTGGTGTCGTCGGCCACCGTAATGTCGAGATCTGTGTCGCCGGTCTGATTTAGCGTGCTGGACTTGATGAGTTGTGGCGCTACATTTTATTATATATCTTTTAATAAGTTTTAATAAAGAGATTAGGATTCGAATTAGTGCTAAATTAGAGTGATGCTATGGGTTCTAATGGTGGGTACTAATCTGTGTACTACCTAGGCATAGTACCTGTACTTGCGCATAGTACGTACTATATGCCTTAGTTAGTACACAGATTAGTACCCATCCATTAGTAACCCATATTATTCCTAATATGTATCACGTAAAATGACAAAAATATCCTTGGCCTTGAAAGTTAATCTTCAAATTTGAGTATGGAAACGAAAAACACTATGCTTACCTCCCACTTATACTAACTGCCATACAACCTTTGTTAAAATTTTACATGGTACCCGTATTTGCATATAGTACCATACTATGCGTTATATTTATAAAGGATAGTAAGATGGTTAGTAAAGATGTGAGTAATATAGTATGGTTCATGGAAAACATTGAAGATAGTTTCCGGGGTGGAAAATTTAATTCGCTAAACATAGAGTAGAAAATGTATTTTAACCATTCTGGAGACAAGTTTAATTAATAGCATAAAGTGGCCCGCCGCCCGGTAATGTATTTTATCTCAAATGCTTTTACGTATTTATACTTTAAATATATCTTTATGAATAATATTACACTTATAAATATTACAAAAATAATTTCCTCTTTTTTTTTTTTTTTTTTTTTTTTTTGTATGATCGAGAGTGGTCCAAACCAGCTTACGCGTACTTAAACTAATCATCGGACTTTGAAATTACAGGTCGAGTAAAAATTCTATAATTACTCTATTAGCATCCGAGAAGGGACTCGAACTTAAGACTGTCTTCTTTCCTTTGTCCCCTCCAAGACCTCCGTTTTTGCTCATTCTTGAAGTCTCCATCATAAATCATAATAGTTTAAGATTAGATCGAAATGGAGATGGCTGATACTAAGCTGTAACTGGCAAATTGCACAAATTTTTAATGGCAAATTTGGCGCGGTATCTGAAATAGCATCAAAAAATATTGCTCAAAACTCAAAAGCTGTATAAATAATCCCACACAATATTTGCCGAATTTCATGTAAGAGATACAGTGTGGAGAGTTTTTATCGTATGATAAGAAAAAGCAAAATTCATCTGTTCCCATCACTTATTGCTTTACATTCTTGTCCTTCTTTTGTTTATCATTCTAATGTTTACACTCACTTCATCTAGATATAAGACTCTTCACTGTGGAGTAAAGACAGTAGTCTCTTTAATTAAGCTTAGTAGCAAAAGATTACAAATACGGACAAGTATATTTAACTAAAAGATATTCTTAGATATTATATTTAATGAGTGTGCAATGTGAGATGGAGGAGCAAGTATATGAAAATCATATAACAGTATCATTCCACACTCGGTCCATTCCAAAGTCAGAAATTTTAGGATTCATGTCTTTATCCAACAAAATATTGCTAACCTTCAAATCCCTATGAATAATTCGCATTATAGAGTATTCGTGAAGATAAAGAAGTCCTTGAGCAATCCCTTCAATGATCCGAACACGTGTCTTCCAGTCTAGTAGCTTCCGTTTCACTGGATCTAATGTACAGCAAGTAAACAAGATATGAGTGAAGAAATACGTAAACCCCAATGAAGGAGAACATCAATAATCAAACAAATATTTGAAAACTGTGAGATTTACAAACCAAAGAGGAAGAAATCCAAGCTTTTATTTGGCATGTACTCATAGATCAGTATCTTTTCATCTTGTTCAATGCAGCAGCCCAGAACTTTAACAAGATTCTTGTGTTGGAGCTTGGCTATGAGCATTGCTTCATTTTTTAATTCCTCCCATCCTTGTCCAGATCTTCTTGAAAGCCTTTTCACAGCTATTTGATCCCCTTTCAGTAGTGTTCCCTGAAATATGACTTTTCTTATTTACCTTGGCAAAAGTTTTATTCTGAAATTCTGGCACCAATTTGCTTAAGCAGCTGCTAAGGACATAAACTCTTACCTTGTAAACAGTTCCGAAACCACCCTCACCAAGCTTATTTGTGGCTGAGAAATTATCTGTTGCAGCAGAAACACTGGCAAAGCTGAATAATGGCAATTTAACTTCTTTTCTACTATTTTTTCCAAGCTTCTTTACTTCAGTAAGCTCCAAATCATCAGATTTTTGGCCTGAATGCATATCAAATAGCAACAGATCCTCCCCTGGATGTATCAAGAAAAATTTAATTATGGCATTGAGGATATTATTAAATACTACTAAAATCATGCTGCGCCAGAGTTCTACCTTTCCTTCTATGCTTTCTCCTTACATAATGAATAATGAAGCCTAAAATGACCATTGTCATGGACAATATTGGTATGACAATCATCCATACTGGCTTTCTGTTTCCTTTATTCTTGTTATCTTCTATATCCGTTGAAGAGTTTGTCTCTACGAAGAAAAATAAAAGAAGAAGATTAAAAAGACATTCTACACAAATTCACAATAGAAAAGACATAGATTGAATGCTAAGTTGGAAATGAAAGGACTTTGAGTCCTAACAAGAATTAAAGGAACCAGGTATTCAACCCAGCCTTAACCATCTTATAGGAGACTCTTGAGTCTCCCTTGAAGACTCTGGCTTCAGTGTACTCAGCCATAACCCAAAAACCAAACATTATGACTCAACAACTATAGCCTAAGATATTCAGATGGCTATAATGATTAGAACTGAATATAGTAATCCAATTAATTAAATCACAAAATTAACATACTCAGTTCTGAAGCAGGCACTCGTAAGTAGAAGTCCTGTGACTCTCTGTTCTGAACAAGCTTTCTGATATCAATTAGGTCCCCAAACCACATCAAACAGCCACTGCCTCCTCCTGTTGCATTTGAATTGGTATAAGCTTTACAGGAACAATTACTCAAGCACTTGGTCTCACATTCCTTTAGACTCATACTCTCATTCAGTGAAACATCTATCAAGTCAGGCAATTTAATATTATCAACCTTTATAAACCCGTCTCCGCCTTCACAATCCAATGGCAGACTTCTCACGCATCCTTGAGAAGTCTGGTCGTATTGTGAATTGGGTTTGAACCCCTTCAAACACTCGCAAATAGGTGTCTTGTTAATGCTACAAACAGTATTAGCACCACAATGCTCGTAATGTCCACACACATCTTCTGGGGCTGAGTACGCGAGATCCCATCCATTACTTTTCTCGTTCCACATTTGCCACTGTTTCATTCCAGACTGATTTAGTTTTACTAGCATGACGAGCGGATTGTTGAAAGGCTCGTACCAGTAAGAGTACTCACTCTCATTATGCACCATAATTATCTCAAAGACCAAATTTGGATTTGTGGGAATGCCTCCAAAGTAAACTCCATTCCATGGTCCACTCCGGGCAATCTTGCTTGATCCCCTGTAGATCACCAATTCAGGTAACAAATAATTAATGTCAAATCTGAAAGTAAAGTCTCCGGTTGATGGATCATCAGCACTTTTCCATGAAGTTAGATAACGTTCTAGACCAGTCTTTAAATTCCACCCCAACTTCATGCCAGGTAACTGTATATCTGATGGGTAGTCAAAGCTCTGCCATTGATAGTTTTGAGAACCATTCCCGGTAAAGTTATCCATAATAACAAAGTTTCCAGTATCTAAGAGCCGTGCCACTGGATGTTCTACATTTACAGAAATGTTTGAAGACAAGACGATTCTCTTATTTTTGCTGAGAAGAACAAGGTTTCCGCTTTCACTAATGGATAAAACTCCATTGCTTTCGAGAATAGGGTTGTTCCTGTTTGCAACCCAGACAACTGTTTCAGGACTCTTTTTGTACCATATTCCCAGGTACCTGTTTTTCGAATTTCCAGGAGAGAAGAAGCCAAGCTCAAACCTTTGAGCTGAGGAAATCAATGTCTCACCATCCTGGATGGATACTTCTGGAGTGATGTTATCAGCTGCTAATAACAAGTTAATGCTCGCGAAAAAGATGAAAGAGCTAAAGCAGTAGGAGAAAGGAAAGCTCTTCATTGATACACTGCTGAACCAACACAATTACACACAAAAAAATTATCTACTAAAGTCTTGTTATTGTTGTTAGATCTTGAACGACAAAGGGGAAGGAACCAAAGGGGCAGACAGCAGACTAATTTGGAAAAGTCTATCAATAAACATTCTTTGACTCGCAGAAATTTTTATATAGCCTCTAAAGTATTTCCCTACTACACCCATAGTGTGAGAATTTATCAACAATACCCTTGTTGTAAACAAATAGGATTAACCCCATCAGAAAGACATCCTTTTTACACCACATATCTCAATAGTCTTAAATGTATGTTTATTTACCAAACTATTGTTGTCGGTTTATTAATAACAAAGGAATATTAAGGACTAATTTTCAAATTGTAGGTATTAAAATAATAGTAAACTATGGTTCAGGGGTATCCTTGATATTATCCCTTATGAATCTTTCCGCCAAAGGCAACGCGAGGCAGGTTCCTCTTCGTCAAAATAATCAGAAAGTCTTCCCCACGTACGTCAGTTCAATTATTATAAGCCAAGTGGCTTTATAATATATTTTTTAATATTCCACTTCATAATCTTACCCTAACATTTTGTTTACAGACCTTCTTCTACACTCTTAACTCAACTCTTTCGTTCTCTCATGCCATTGACAACCTCTCAACTCTTCCTGTCGCTGATGCTGAAGAAATAAATGATTTGACATGAATGCTAAGGTGAAAATAAAAGAAATAAGAAAGAATTGCAGAGAAACCAAAGAAAGAAAAAGGTTAAATATATGTTAGGTGTCATATAATGATCGGACTGACTTTTGAGAGAGGGAGAGAAAAGTATGTTACATATATAGTTAGATTCCGAAAAATCGGCTAAATGACACATAATAATTAGACTAATGCAACAAGTCAGCATTCTGACCCGGCACATAAGGTCGACAAAAACTTTCTCCAGCGTCATTACCGACACAAGACTGAGAATATATTAAATTAAGCCGGCTAATGACTTTTTTCTACTTTCTACTCTCAACGAAACTTTTCTACCCGTTTATTTTTAAAATACCATTCTATTACTCAAAAAAACAAACTCGATTCAAATTATTGAAATTTTTAAAGATAAGGGATTAATAAGTCTTTTAGTGATTAAAGGTTAGATTTTTATGATTGTGATCAATATTTTAATCTTGACCTAGCTCGATCAGTTTAATTGGTTCAACCAGGACCCAAAAGCTTCAATAGGTCAGATTTATATTTTTTCTATTCACCCAAAACCCTAGGATTTAGGGAGATAATCGACGAACAATTGACAGTCATGATGTTAGGGTTTTTGAAGAGAAAGTGCCAGTGAATGCAATGGTGGTGACGGAGTTGATTTCCGATGAGTAAATCGACCGAAAATCGAACAAAACTGACAGTAGCAACAACTGACTTTTGTTGGTGATTGGTGAGGCTAATGGGCGTGGGGTGAGGTGGGTTCTGGTCGGGAGGAAAAGGGGAGTAATTTCCAGGTGATGAGGAGGGTTGTCGACGCCGGCGTCGATGAGATCTGACCTGGAATGCCGACACCGGCGTCGGTGAGATCTGACCCAAATCGAACCTATTTCGACCATATATTATGTATATTTTAAGGGGAATGGGCTCAAGGGACGATTGGGGTTGCATCTTGAGTGTCGCCACCACCAACCAAGCGTTGGCGGATTTGTATTTGGGGTGTGTTTGCCAAATTTCAAACCTATAGAGACTTAACAGGGATGTATTTGTTGAATTTTAGAAGTTTTGTCAACCGATTTGACAGTTGGTCAAACCTGTTAAACCGGTCAACCTAGGACCCGGCAACTTTGCTGGGTTTCACTCCGGGTTGGGTTTTAAAACATTGGTTGGGATATATCAGAATTTAACTTGGGAGGGGCGACTGCATAAACTCTAATCGCTCAATTGCCAACGACTGGCGGAGTCGACGGGAGTAAGGTTTGAGAAGTTTTGGTGAGTGATGATTGGAGAAGAGAATGGTAGTGGTACAGGGTTACAACGATGCTAAAATCAGAAACGAAGTATAAATTTGAGTAATAAAATGGTATTTAATTTAAAAGTACATGGGTGGGAAAAAGTGATTTACTCTAAATTAAACCTCCTTATTCTGCCCTTTAAAGTAATAAAAATATTGAAACCTCCAATGTGACAAGGAGATACATTGCACTTATCTGAGAATTTATAGGTCATGTAACTGTCTTGGTGAAAACACCGACAAGTTCATAATTCCTTTGCTATATTGATCTAAAACAACAGAGATAAGTCCACAAAAATGATACATATACAATCATAATTGGAGTATGGAAGTCCATAGCATTAACGAGCTTCCATAACTGTAACAGTTAGATTATTCACAGAGTATTTCTCTGACTCAATGCTATATGACTCTAAACTTTTGGAACTTCTTACATTTGAAAATGCAGGTTCTTTTGGAGAATGCAATACTGCACTTTGGTTCGTAAGCATTGAGACGACTTGAGACATGGTAGGCCTATCTTCTGCTCTTTCTTGAACACAAAGCAGCCCTATGTTTACATATCTTGCCACTATAAGCTCTGAGGATTCATCTTCTAATTCTGGATCCATCAGGTTCAGTCCCCTGCCACTAGTCCAAATATCCCATGCCTTGCATCCACACATAAGTTAAAACAAATTAATTGAAGTTCTAATTGACCATTGCTTAACAAATGTGATTCAGGTTTTGTTACTCACATAACTTAGAAGATTGAGAGAATCAGTCTGATAAAAGCCAGTATTCTTCTTGCTACTAATAATTTCAAGCAACAACACTCCAAAGCTGAAGACATCAGATTTTATGGAGAAGACACCTTCAAGGGCATACTCTGGGGACATATATCCACTGCAAGTCCATAATCAATATGATATAATTAGTTCATTCATGATAATAGTAAATGCATAACTCCAGTAAGGAGCAACTATGTTGCATGCATGATTTTTAAACTTAGATGCATCATTTAGTTTACATACTATGTTCCAACAATCCGTCTTGTTTTTGCTTGTAACTCATCCTCTCCAAATATTCTTGCCATGCCAAAATCAGAGATTTTAGGATTCATGTCTTTGTCCAACAAAATATTGCTAGCCTTCAAATCCCTATGAATGATTCGCATGATAGAGTATTCATGAAGATAGAGAAGCCCTTGAGCAATCCCTTCAATGATCTGAACACGTGTCCTCCAGTCTAATAACCTGCTTTTTGTAGGATCTTATTTAGCTTAAGTGAATCAGATACGAGTGAAGAAACGAGTCAACCTTAATGAAGGGGAACATCAATAATGTGCAATCAAATATATATTTTTGAAACTGAGAATTACAAACCAAAGAGGAAGAAATCCAAGCTCTTATTCGGCATGTACTCATAGATGAGTATCTTTTCATCTAGTTCAATCCAGCAGCCCCACAGTCTAACAAGATTCTTGTGCTGGAGCTTGGCTATCAGAACTGCTTCATTTTTTAATTCCTCCCATCCTTGTCCCGATGCTTTTGAAAGCCTTTTCACAGCTACTTTATCCCCTTTCAGTAGGGTTCCCTGACATATTACTTCTTTTATTAACCTTTGCAAGGTTTTATTCTTGAGTTCCAGTAACAATTAGCCTAAGATGCTGCTAATGACATAAAATCTTACCTTATAAACAGGTCCAAAACCTCCCTCACCAAGTTTATTGGTGACTGAGAAATTATCAGTTGCAGCAGAAACACTAACAAAGCTGAATAATGGCAATTCAACTTCTTTTCTCCTATTGTTTCCAAGCTTTTTTACTTCAGTGAGCTCCAAATCATCAGATTTTTTGCCCAAACCTGTATCAAATAGCAACAGATCCTCCTCTGGATATGTGAAAAAAAAATTATAATTATGACATTGAGGGTGTTATTATATGCTGCTCAAATCATGCTGAGCCAAAGTTTTACCTTTCCTTCTACGATTTCTCGACCAGTAATGAATAATGATGACAAGAATAGCGATTGTTAGAGACGCTATTGGTATGACAATTTTGCATAGTTGCTTACTGTTTCCTTTATTCTTGTTAACTTCTTGATCTGCTGAAGTCCTGCTGCTTGTCTTTGTCTCTACGAAGAAATATAACTAAGATTATTATTATGACAATCTGCGCAAATTTACCATAAAATAGACACATTGATTGCTAAGTTGGGAACGAAAGGTCTTGAGTCCTTAAAATAATCCTCCTTGAAGACATCGATCTTCTATGTACATATCCTGTATATAAACTTATTACCATTGTTAAGTGAAACCATATATTCAAACCCCAACTTAAATATCAAATGCGAAACTCTTGAGACTCAATTAAGAATCGAATTTGGGACTCAACAACTATAGCCTAAAATATTCAGAACAGAACCTTAGCGTTAGTCCTTTCTATAGACTAGAAGATAAAATAGTAACCCTGTTTAATAAGTGCAGAATATATATACCTAGCTCAGAAGCAAGCACTCTTAAATAGATATCTTGTGTCCCTCTGTTTTCAGCCACCGTTCTGATATCAATCAGATCCCCAAACCACATCAAGCAGCCACTGCCTCCTCCAGTTGCATTGGAATTAGTATAAGCTGTACAAGAACAGTTACTAAAGCATTTGGCCTGACATTCCTTAAGACTCATACTCTCATTCAGTGAAACATCTATCAAGTCAGGCAATTTAATCCCTTCAACCTTTGTAAACCTGTCTCCGCCTTCACAATCCAATGAGGAACTTCTCACGCATCCTTTAGAAGAAGTCTGGTTGTATTGTGAATTGGGTTTGAACCCCTTCAAACACTCGCAGATAGGTGTCTTTTTAACGCAACAAACAGTATTAGCACCACAATGCCCATAATGTCCACACTCATCTTCTGGGGCTGAGTACACGAGATCCCATTTATGGCTCCTCTCGTTCCATATTTGCCACTGCTTCATTCCAGATTGATTTAGTTTTGCAAGCATGACGACCGGATTGTTGAAAGACTCATACCAGTAAGAATACTCATCCTGATTATGCACCATAACTAGCTGAAAGATCAAACTTGGACTTGAAGGAACGCCTCCAAAGAAAACTCCATTCCATGGTCCACTACGGGCCATCTTCATTGATCCCCTGTAGATTACTAATTCAGGTAAAAAATAATTGATATCAAATCTGAAAGTAAAGTCTCCGGAGGATGGATCATCGGCACTTTTCCAAGAAGTTAGATAGCGTTCTAGACCAGTCTTTAAGTTCCATCCCAACTTCATGCCAGGTAATTGTATATCCGATGGGTAGTCAAAGCTCTGCCATAGATAGTTTTCAGAAGAGTTTCTGGAAAAATTGTCCATAAGAACAAAGTTTCCAGTATCTAAGAGCTGTGCCACTGGATTTTCTACATTCACAGAAATGTTTGAAGACCAGACAATGCTCTTTGTGTTGCTGAGCAGAACAAGATTTCCATTTTCACTAATGGATAAAACTCCATTGCTATCGAGGATAGGATTGTTTCTATTGGCAACCCAGACAACTGTTTCAGGACTCTTCTTGTACCATATTCCCAGGTACCTGTTTTTCGATTTTCCAGGAGAGAAGAAGCCAAGTTCAAACCTTTGGGCTGAAGAAATCAATGTCTCACCATCCTGGATGGATACATCAGGAGTGATGTTATCAGCTGCTAATAACAAGTTAATGCTTGCAAAAAAGATGAAAGAGATAAAGCAGTAGGAGAAAGGAAGACTCTTCATTGATACAATGCTGAACCAACACAAAACTCTGGCAAAATATTTGCATAATTTTGTTTCTTAATTCTTCACAGGTGCAATTTTTTATCTACTGAAGTCTTGTCATTGTTGTTAGATCTTGAATCTTACACTTGACAAGAGGAAGGAACAAAATTGGAAGACAGCTGACTAATTTAGAAAACTTTCTGCAACAATAAAAAATCATTGACTAAGGATAATCCATCCTCTAGGTGCCTCTAAACTATTATCTAATATCATCTCTTACCTTTGGTTTGAGAATTTATCAACAATATCCTTCACGTTAACAAATAGCATTAACTTCCCTCACGTGTTAAAATGACCACTTACGTGAAGAAATTCTTTTACTCTACACTCTACAGAACTTAATAGTCTTCATTTCAACGGTTTGTTCAAAACAAAAGGAGTATTATGGATGAATTCTCAAACCATAGGTATAAAAATTATTTTACAATAATTCAGGATCCTTGATATTATCCCTTGTGATGAAGGGCAGGGCAGGTAAGATTCCTGACAAAACCTTATTAATTAAATAAGTTTAACATAATTAAACCTCGTTCTGTCTTATAAATAAGAATTAATATTGACCACATACTATTTAAAGACTAACGATATTAGTTTATGCTGACTAAATAGTTTATGTTTTTTTTTTTTTTTTTTTTTTTTTGGGTAACTGGAGTGTTTGAACCAGTTTATGCGCATCTTAATTAATCTATAGGTCCATTGCATTATTTTAAAACCCGGATAAGAGGACAACCCGTTTTACTGCCCGAGTTACTGATCAACCGATGACATCAACAATAATTTAATTTTAAAAAAAATTACTATTAATCCCTTAAATTTTAGTATATTACAGAAAAAACCCTAAAATTTTAAATTAGTCCCTAAAATTTTTATTTATTTCAAAAATACCCCAAATAAATTTGAAATATTACAATACCCCCTTAAACCCTGAACCAGACCGAAAATACTACCGAGTCTCGATCGAACCGATCCGACCGATCAATCCGATCTGGTTTTTAATACAGGGATCCGTTGAAGACCGTACAAGTTTAAAAGACCAAATAAGTCATAATATTGTTGTAAGTGATATCCAAGTTTGAACTTAGTAATTTAAGGAACAAAGTAACCCTCCTTAACCCAACCTCAACTTTCAAGGGTTTGTGCACATAAAATAATGTATTATATGATTATATCNGAGGACAGACGTTCCCAGAATTTCATGTAATGGATACATGAAATTAATTTAAAAAAAAAGAAAAAAAACTAATAAGCAATAATTAATTTTTAATCTTCTGCTGACAGTGCATAAGGGCAGAGCACTCTGTTTCTAATTGACACTGAAACTGTAGTTTCTATGTACATATGTATATGTATCTTGCATTCTCAAAACAAAACTGACGCAATTCTAATTCAGTAATCTCTACCCTAAATCCGGGATATATATATATACAATAATGCTACGGACACTGGCATTTTTACACCAAAATCTTGTACCGACCTATATGTCCCATGATTCATACTAACAAATCAGACAAGTTTCACGTTATTACATTTTTTTCTAGTGAACGGCCGTTCATCAAATATGGATGGCAGTTCACTTATATGGACTCTCGTCCATATTATATGGATGGGGGTCCATTTACTACGGATGGATATCCCTATTTAAAAGACATCCGTCCATCAGTAAAATGGAATAAAATTTATTTATAAAAATTAGGGACGGCCGTTTATAGGTTATGAACGGCCTATAAACGGCCTAAATATTGGACGAACGTTCATATTTTAATGGACGTCCATCCATTAACAATTCTTTTACAAAAAAATTAAAAAACATTAATTTTGGACGGACGCCCTCAAATAAGGGACGCCCGTGCATAATGTAAATATAAAATTTTAAAAAAAAAACTTTGGACGCCCGTCCATAACTTGTGGATGGGAGTCACTTTGTTTTCTTTTATTATTAACTGAAACAATTAATTTTGTGAAGAATTTTCAAGGCAATTGTGATTAATTAAAACCGAGCAACACTGCACAACCAGCTTCCGGCCCACCTGAAAAGTTGTTCAATTGCACTTTAACCAGATGAAAATGAGATTGTTCGAGTTTCGATCGTAGTTACTGTCCCAGGCAAGCATTATAACAAGCTTGTACCTTCAAGATATTATGGAAACACAACTGCAATCTCAGTTTTATGTTGAAAGGCTAAAGATTTGTGCAAGAATCCATTAGGATATGCAGTATAGTTAGTGAAAGCCAAAATGAATGAAGAGTATTTAAGATCTATAGCTGATCTTATGGTGATCAAGGAAAGGCCTAAAGGTGTGGCAGAAGGGAACTTTATTTTTTTTCGATATAAGCCGTCCAGGATTTGAAGAGGTACATTTAGGGTAGAGGAAAGCTTTGTATGCTGGATCAATTGAAGCTGCATCATTAATCGGCTACTATGTGAAGTACCGAAAGAGACATGGCGAGAATGGAAACTGATAGATCAGTATATGAAGAAGGTTGAGAGCATCTACAAACTTATGGCACATGAGGGACAACCGTCTATTCCTTGTGGACTGCTGTCCAATTTTATTTTATTTTTTAAACAAATTGTTAATGGACGGGCGTCCATTACCATATGAACGCCCGTCCATTAATTTTGTTTAATAAAATTTTATTATTAAAATATTGGATAGGCGTCCATTATATGTGGACGCCTGTCCATTTTTTGGGATGACCGTCCCCAAGTTATGGATGGCCATCCCTTAATTTTGTTTATATTTTTTATTCCATTTACTAATGAACGAGCATCCTTTAAATGGGGACGCCCGTCCATAGTACATGGACTCCGGTCTATATAATATGGACGGGTGTCCATATAAGTGAACGACTGTCCATAGTTGATGAACGACCGTTCACTAGAAAAAAAAAATTTGAACGTGAAACGTGTTTGGTTTGCTGGTGTGAATCACGAGACACGTAGGCCGGTACAAGATTTCAGTGTAAAAATACTGGTGTCCGTAACATTATATATATAGAACTATGAAATGGACGTAACCTTATTATTGCAGTTCATTCTAAAATTTAGTTCAAGTGTAGTAGTCCATATTTCATATAAATTTACAAGCAAATTTTGACCATACAGTTCTTCTCATAATATTGATATCACTGATGTTTTAGACTTCCCTTTCGAGTCAATATTAGCACCTCCATAATTCTGATCTGAAATTAGAACAAAGTGAAGCTGTTGCATGTTTTAGCCATTATGTCGTTATTATGGTTCAGTTTTTAAGGTATCTTGGCCTGTTTCCATCTGCTCTACTTTCTTTTCTTGTACGATAATTGGAAATATGAATGTAAATGTTCATAAGTGTTGTAAACTAGGTCTAATTGAACAATCCTAAGCACTAATTGCTCAAACACAAACTGAAAGTAAAGAATCAAGAACAACACACCAATATACCATGGTTCACTTGTTCAAGATCGAACAAGCTACATCCATGTTGAGCTCCAGAATATGGAGACTCGCTACACTATGATTAAAGCCTCAAGATTACATATTACAACCAAATCTCACTCTCAAGATTCACCTCAATCGCTCACTCACATTTGCCTCTTTTTACACGCAAACCTAAAATCCCTAGAGAACTCTCTACCCTTGAAGGAACAGACAACCCTCAACAAGACTCTAGGCAGTTTTACACAAGGAGAACAACTTGAATGAAAAACCTCTAACACACCAGGTTACAATCGCAACTCATAGAGAGAAAGATCGAGAGAGAGCTCACAAATGCAAAAGGTCTTCTTTTATATCGTTGACCTGTTAGGTGGGTTTTGAGCCATTAGATCATGCATCCATCAAAGGGCCAAGATTTATTGAAGCTCCTCAAAACGACAGCGCATCACTTGACTTCAAAAATGGCGTCGCAGACTTCACCATTTAACAATCTCTACCTTGAAGTCCGTGGTTACTTCTCTGGCAGGATCCTCTTTAGTGTAGCAAGTATTTTCCATATTCCTTCTTAGCTTTAATTGGTTATTCCACATGCAATAAGTTCAAGCAATGCTTGAACTTTGCAAGTGTCACAACCTTGGTTCCCATGTCCGCTGGGTTATTTTCAGTGGGGATCTTCATAAGGTTCAACTCCCTTCTTGAGATCATATCCCTTACAAAATGGTACCTTACATCTACATGTTTAGTCCTCTCATGATATACAGGATTCTTTCCCAAGTGAATGGAACTCTGACTGTCTGAATAGACAGTTACTAGTCCATTCAGTAGCTTGACCTCTCTTAAGAATCCTTGAAGCCATATGGCTTCTTTGAATGCATCGGTTACAGCCACATATTCTGCTTCAGTTGTGGACAATGCCACCAATGGGTGTAATTGAAACTTCCAGCTGACATAATTACTTCCCAAGGTGAAATAGTAGGCTGTTGTGGACTTCCTTGAATTCCTATCACGTGCAAAATCAGAGTCTACATACCTAACCAGATCAAGTGAGGAGTTTCTTTTACAAAAGTTCAAACTAACATGCACAATGCTTCTAATATATCTAAGTAGCCATTTTAAAGCATTCCAGTGTTCACATACAGGGTTTGACATGAATCTACTTAGTAGGGATATTGAATAGGATAAATCAGGCCTTGAACTAATCATAGCATACATGACAGAACCTATGGCATTAGCGTACAGTATAAATTCCTTCTTTAACATTTCAGCTTCTGTTTTTGGGCTTTGTACATTACTAAGAATGAAATGGCTAGCTAGGGGCATGGTGGCACACTTAGAGTCATTCATTCCAAACTTTTAGCACTAGTTTTTATAGGTAAGGCAACTGATGGAGTTTTAAGCTATAATTTTTTCTATTTCTATCTATTAGCGTTCCTAATATCTTCTTTGCACAACCTAAATCCTTCATGTCAAATTCAACATTCAATTTTCCCTTCAATTCATCAATATGGGCATTGGATTTACTAATTAATAACATGTCATCTATATACAAGAGCAAATATATATGATTGTTATCAACATATGCAAAGTAGAAACATTTATCATAATCACTCCTAGTGAAGTCTATACCCACTATGAAAGAGTCAAATCTCTTATATCATTGCCTAGGGGATTGTTTCAGTCCATACAACGATTTATGCAACAAACATACATGGTTAGGCACGTGTTTATCCCTAAAACCCGTAGGTTGACTCATATAAATCTGCTCTTCTAATTCCCCATGCAAAATTTCAGTTTTTACATCTAACTGCTCTAACTCTAGATCATAATGTGTTTCTATAGATAACATCAGCCTTATAGTTTTAAATTTAACTATAGGTGAGAAAATTTCAGTAAAATCGATACCTGCCCTTTGTGTTAGCCTTTGGCCACTAACCTGGCCTTGTATCTTGGCGGGTCGAACTTGTTGATGCCCTCCTCTAGCTTATACAACCATTTATATTCCACCAGCTTCTTGTCTTTGGGTTTTGGGACCAAAGTCCAAGTCTTGTTCTGCATTAGGGAATCCATCTCCTCATTCATGGCAGTAAGCCATATCTTGCTATCTTTTGAGTTGATGGTATCCTTATAAGAGTCAGGTTCAGTCCTCTAAATCTCTACACCAGCAAGCAGTGATGTGTAGATGAGATCAACATAGTTGAACCTTGTAGGGGGTCTTATTTCCCTCCTTGCTTTATCTCTAGCTAATTAGTATAGTGTCAAGTCCTCTTGTTGGGCATCCTCAATATTATCCACATGTTCACCTTCCCCATCATGGTCAATATCAATAGGTGGGTGCTCAGGTTTAGGTTCTGGTCCATCAATAGTGGCTTCTTGTTCTTGTTGGTTGGTTGACTCCACCTCAAACTGAGTACTCTCGATTTAATAAGAGTTTTCCAATTGGTGGCTTGAGGTACTTGTATTAGTGTTAGTAACCCTGCAAGGAAACACACACTCATTAAAGATCACATTCCTACTGATGATGACCTTGATCCGTTGAGCATCTCTCTCCCACAACCTATATCCCTTGGTCCCATCTTGATACCCTAAAACACACATTTGAGGGACCTAGGTTCCAATTTCCCATCTATGGTGTGTGCATAAGCTGCACATCCAAAGACTCTTAGGTGGTTTAGGGATGGTTTTCTTCCTAACGATTTTTTTTTAGGGCATTTAGAACCTATTGCACCAGAAGGAGACCTATTTACTAAATAAGTAGTAATGGTTAAAGCCTCCCCCCAAAATGACTTAGGCAGACTAGCAGTGAATAAAAGACACTTGACCTTCTCTAACAAGGTCCTATTCATCCTCTCAGCAACTCTATTTTGTTGGGGAGTCCTTCTAACTATCTTGTGTCCTAAAATTCCCTGGTCTCTACAGTATGTATCAAACTCAATATTACAAAACTCCAAACCATTATCTGTTCTAAGAGCTTTTACTTTTTTCTCCACTTGGTTTTCTACCAAAATTTCCAGCCCTTGAACTTACTTAGGGCCTCATCCTTAGATCTAAGGAGGTATACCCATACCTTCCTACTGTAATCATCTATAATGGATAGGAAATAACTATTTCCTCCATGTGATTTAACTCTCTCTGGACACCATAGATCAGCATGTAAATACTCAAGACAATTTATAGGCATGTGAGTTCCTTTTGGGAAATTCAGCCTGTGTTGTTTACCTATGACACATGTTTCACAGAAACTAAGATTTGACACATTATCATTGCCCAAGTACTCCTGCTGTTTAAGGGAATTCATACTTGTTTGGTCTATATGGCCCATCCTTAGGTGCCACTTCTCTGCAGGAGAGATGTTAGTAGATATAAAGTAGAATTAACAGTTATTGGATAATACTGACCATACAGAATATACAAACCATGCCTCTTAACCCCTTCAAGCAATATTTGATCATTCTTGTAAACAGAAATGCATCCATTTTTAGCCCTATAGCTACAGCCAGCTTCATCTAGGGTGTCCAATGAAATTAGGTTACGCTTAAGCTCAGGTATATATCTTACTCTTGTTAACATTATGAATTTATGACTACTTAGTCTAATGGTGATATTTCCTACACCTTGAACCCTACAGAAGTGGTTATTGCCCATAAAAACAGTTTCAGGTTCTCCATTTATCAAATTTTGAAACCAACTTTTATTTGGACTCATATGGAAGGAACACCCTAAATCTAACACCCATTCATTAGCAATTTTAGAACTTGATACAGTGAGTGTTTCAGTGATTTCAATGCTATTACTAGAGGATGCTATGTTACTCTCAGTATTAGGCCGTTTTTGCTTCTTAATCTAATCATAATAGTTCTTTTTAATGTGTCCAGCCTTATTACAATGAAAACATTTTTTTTTGTCTCTGATTTAGGTTTATTATTATTAGCCTTTCCCTTCTTCGTATTCCTTAAACCTAAATGTTGTTGGATATTTTTGCCACTTTGTTTTCCTAAATGTGTAGCATTAGGTCTGCCCTTCACAAACAAGTTATTCCCATTTCTTTTCAGGATTTTCAACTCAAGTTCTCTAGATTTCAACCCAGCTATTATCAAATCAACACTGGGAACAGATCCAATGTAGTGCAAACCATTCTTTACCACTAAGTATTCATCAGGCAATGAATTTAATAAGATCACTGCAAGACTCGAATCCCCTAATTCTTGATCGGTTCCTTTTAGTATCAATGTCATTTTTAAGAATTCCTCTAGGTTTTCTTCTAGTGACTTAGAAACATCCATTTTGTTGGAAAACAGGGCACCCTTTAAAAATGCTAAATTAGGAGCAGACTGTAATGCATATAAAGTTTCGAGTTTACCCCAAAGTTCGATTGGTGTGTCCAGACCATCCACCTTTTGCAGCACGTTGTCAGATAAATTCATAATGATCAAGTTGTAGGCTTCTTTGTCTATCTCCGCCTTCTTTTTCAACTTTTCTTCAGACCATTTGGTAACATCCTTCTCTAGTGCTACTCCTACCTTGTTGTGGGATAGAAGAGCCTTCATCTTCTTCTTCTAAGTATTGAAATTCATCTTCTCATCATACTGGGAGATTTATACATGTGTGGTAGTGCTCATAATTTGGTTAAAAAACAAACCCTAAAGATTCACTACCTGATCTTGATTGACTTCCTTTGATTTGACCTTTTGAGATCGAAATTGATCTTTGGTGTTCAAGAATTGAACAAAAGACTTAAGATTCAAGACCCTGGAGGTCAAGAACTTCCCTAAATAAAAAACCCCCAAATTTGACAAAAAAACCCTAAATTGTGACTCTGCCAATTTTTGGACCAATTTCAAGAATAGATAAACCCTAGGGTACTGGCTTTGATACCACTGTTGTAAACTAGGTCTAATTGAATAATCCTAAACACTAATTACTCAAACACAAACTGAAAATAAAGAATCAAGAACAACACACCAATATACTGTGATTCACTTGTTCAAGATCAAACAAGCTACATCCACGTTAAGCTCCAGAATATGGAGACTCGCTGCACTACGGTTAAAACCTCAAGATTACAAATTACAACCAAATCTCACTCTCAAGATTCATCTCCATCGCTCACTCACCTTTGCCCTTTTTTACACCGCAAACCTGAAATCCCTAGAAAACTCTCTACCCTTAAAGGAACACATAACCCTCAACAAGACTCTAGACAGATTTACACAAGGAGAACAACTTGAATGAAAAACCTTTAACACACCAGGTTGCAATCGCAACTCATAGAGAGAAAGATTGAGAGAGAGCTCACAAATGCAAAAGGTCTTCTTTTATACCGTTGACCTGCTGGGTGGGTTTTGAGCCATTAGATCATGCATCCATCAAAGGACCAAGATTTATTGAAGCTTCTCAAAACAACAGCGCATCACTTGACTTCAAAAATGGCATCGCAGACTTCACCATTTAACAATAAGCTTACAGATACAAACTTCATGTTTACAACTCAAACACAAGTACGTGTACATACTCACACAATAGAGTGATGACGTGAAAATAGTTACCTTGCTCTTTGAGTTTTCTCCTCCATTTAGGAAAGATGTAAGCAACAGGCAGCAGAACAACAAAAATTATGAGTATCCATAGTAGCTTTATATTTCTATGTTGGAAAATATATTTATCATCAAAGAAAGTCATTACAGAAGAAATTATAATAATACTTGATAATTTGAACAAATTATCTCTAGGTTTTTGAAGCTTTAGGAAGCATCCAATTTGATATATATTGTCTGTCCTCAGGATCGAGTTTTGAAAGTTTTTTTAGATTCAATATCTCTTCATACCATAGCAAACTCACACAACTACTGTTATAAGCAACCCCAGTGCAGGAACAGTTATTTGAGCAAGCCAATTTACATTCCTTTACATTCAGACCAGTTGATTCTTTGGTCTTAAGGGAAATCTTACATCATTCATCCTCCAGAACATGTCTTTTTTACCATTAGAAGAACTGCTATCCTTACATTGTAATGGTGTTCTTCTCAAACAACCACCTGATATATCTTGCTCTTTCTAGCTTTCTGAGGGTACAAAACCATGTAGGCACTGATAGCTGCATATAAATATCTCAGGGCAGATACTGAAAAGACCAACGAAACAGCACATTCAACTCGTTCAACCCAGTAATCAAACCAACAATCAATACTTTTCAACCATACCTTTAGTCTGAGGCGTCCATACTTACTATCAATTTGATATCTCATGATAGAAGATTCCTTTGGAGAAGAGTCGAAGGATGTCTCATTTTCAGTGTTGTAAAAACTTAAAATGATGAAATCAATTACTCCCTTTTTAGACACTAAGGAGAATCCACCTTCGTGCCAAACCCTAGTCCTCCATAGCATTTCAATGTAATACTCCGTATTTTCTTTGCGGATTTTATTTAATTTTATTTATGTGAATCTAGGGGGTAATGTGTAAGAATTGAAACTTTTTAGAGATGTTTGAGTAAGAAATAAGGCCTGGTGGGTCTATTAAATAGTTTTGCAGGAGCACTTGTGTGAAATTGGAAGTGTGAAAATCTTTCAACGACATTATAAAATTGATTAAAGATGAGGGGTCTTACCAATATTGTGTCATGCAAGGACACATACATAATTTTCCAGGGGTGACATCGTGATAAAACATAACTTTAATTAAAGGATTTTGGGGTGCAAGATGTAAGAATCAGAGACTAAGGGATGCATGATAATTGGCCATTGCAAGATGGATTAAAGGAATTTTTTTTTTTTTTTGGAGAATCAGCCCCCGATTTTGGCACCTTGTTTTGCCAATGTTGGTTGTAGATTTCTATTAAATTGAAATGAGGAGAAGAAGAATGGGGGAGTGGAGAAAGAGAGAGCCGAGAGAGTGAAAGGAAAAAGGGTGAGAGAGGTAGAAGTTTGTTTGTTTTTTTTTTTTTTTCCTCATTTTGCCTTCACTCTCCTGTGTAAATTGAAAGAGAGAAAAACAATTTTGGGTTGAAGTAGAAGAGGGCCGAGAGGTGATTTGTAGGGGAAGAATTTTCAGAAAAAAAAAAAATGTTTGGGTAAAGTACTAACTGTTAGGCATGCATTTTCAATCCTTCATCGTATTTATTCAATCTTTCATTCCCTCATTGTTTAGATCCCAATTCTTATTTCAATTTTGAATCAAATAGGTGAAGAAGATAGGAGGAACGAACACTAGAGTTGAAAGCAAAGGAGAAAGTGGTGAGTGGAATAGTATTGCATGAAACTGCATGTTTTCATATTTATCTGTGGTTGTGGACAATTCGGTTGTTATGTCGTTCTTTAATATTTTGTTGTGCTTGTTTATGGGAATGCTAAGCAATGAATTATGATGAGGAGAAGACATGAAATTGATAATAGATTGGTTAAGGTGGTTGGGCATAATGAAATTTAAGAATGGGCAGCATATGAGTTTTGGTACTTTCGTAATGATGATTTATTGTTATGGGTTCAGTTTATGAATTTTGCAAATTGGAGTTGCTGGAAGTTACCTTGAGTGTTCATAAATTTACTGTTTCGATGTTGTAATGTCAGTTGGGATTGTTTCTTAAAAAGAAATATTGGTATGAAAACGTGAACTGAACTTGGTATGTATAGAATTGCTAAATTATTTTTCATTTTGTTGGCTGGAAATTCATTTCGCTTTGTGCTCAATGTCATTTGGTAGAAACATTTTTGTTTAGCTGCTGGGAAATTTTGGAGAAAAGATAATTGTTTTGAGTTATTGAGTTTGATTGTAATAGTGGCGGACCTAATATAATAAGGCCCAAATTTTGTTGGTTGGGTTTTAATTCCATAAATGAATGAATGGACATGGGCTTTTGAAGCCTTATTTGGTTGTAAAATAAAACTAAGGCCCAATTATTGTTTGGGGTTTTAGATAAATTTGGTTGGATTGGTGGGCTTACTTATTGTTAATGTTAAGGCCCAATATAGTAAGTTTTTGGGTATTGAATTTGTTTATATTAGTGAGATGGCTTGTTATTAATGATAAGGCCCAATTTTTATTATTTTGTTGAGTTTATGCTTTGATGATAATTGGTAGGGAGGATAATGTGAGAAAAGAAAATTTTGTGAGGCAGTGTGTTCTCGGTTATGGGCGTGTAATTGTCAGGGTCGAAAGTTAGTTTGGGGGTTAACTACAAAGATTAAAAGTTTTGGGATTTTGAAAATTGATGATAAATATAAGGGGTGTAAATAGAATTTTACACTTTTGTACTTTTAGCATGGTAAGCATTGCATTCAAGATCACATGCCTTTTTATTGAAATTTTATATCATATTATACTTTATATATGCATAAGGCATGCATGATGTATATTTGGAATGAAATTGTGGATGCATGATTATTAATATGTTTAACTCCCGGATTGGAAATCACCCTTGTTTAGTACCCATCCCCCTCCAGACATCGGCTAGTATTTGATATTTATTCTCATGCATGCATTGAGATGGTCCGTCCTACCAAACGATTGGGATATCCTACTAGGACAAGACAGACGCTTGACGAGCTCCAGGCGGGATTACACCAGGCAGGTATTGGCAGGTATGGGATTTTGGACGCCCCGAGGGTAGACCGTGGGCGAGATTATATTTGATACCATATCATGACGCCCCGATGGTAGACTGTGGGTCAAGCATGGTTATCCAGTGATGTTCATACCATCTTGAGGGTAGACTGCGGATGGTGCCACCTCGAGGGTAGATTGCGGGTGGTGTAGCTTCATGTTTGAGTTAGGGACTAATTCAAAGAGTTATGATCTAGGTCCCTAAGTGCTAGTAGGGATAATTGATTTATTTTATATGATAGTAGTGTGTGATTTCATGGCATCCGAGAAAAATATATGGTGATTGTTGCCTTATCATGTAAGTGCATTAGTGTTGTGTGGCATGCAATTGGATTATTCATGCATGTTTTCAAAGTTAAAGTTATTTTCGTATAAAATATATTATCCGCTCACTGGGCTTCCTAGCTCACTGTTTTATGTTTCCTCCCCTAGGATTGTAGATCGGGTTTGTGTGGAGCATACTCTATGCTCTAGATTGGCATTGACACATGATGATCTGCATGTTTTACAAACTTTAGTGGACTCTGATACTACGTTTTTTTTTTTGTAACCGGATTTTCAGTTCTTGTTTTTAGAATATTTATTTTGTGTATTTCCACTTCTAAACCTTAAATATGTAAATGCACTACTTTTCACTTTCGTCTATAAATGGAATTGTTTTTATGAATATTTTTAGAATATTCACCTTCCTTTTGAGATCCTGAGTCTCCTGGAGCGCCCGGATTTGGTGGGATAGGGATACTCGGGAGGGGGTGTGACATTTTAGAGCCCCTTATAAGATAAAGCTCCTTCGGTTGCTTTGGATCCATTTTCATTACAGCAACGGCAACACTAGGGTCTTCTTCATCTTTCCATGATGTTAATGACCATACTTTTCCTGTTTTTCGGCAATAACCAATCTCCATTCCAAGAAGAAAGGCATCCAAAGTATAATCAAAACTCTGCCACAATATGTCTGTTCCAATTTCTTAAAATAAAATTCCCTGAATCTGAGAGAATAGCACTTGCATTTTGGCCTGAGACTCTGTCACTCACCCTGTAACTGATCTTGTCATCCACAATGACAAGGCTTCCGTCACTGTTGATGGTAAGTATGGTTGACTTACCAGTTAAGGGCTGATCTCGATTGGCAACCCATACTATAGTTTTTTCCGTAGTATTCTTGTACCATATTCCCACATATTTAAAAATATCTCAAGGAAAAAAGCCCAACTCAAAAATTTTACCTGCAGATAGTATGGTCTCTGGGCATTTTAGCCCTTGTCCTCGTGTGATGCTATCAGAAACTGCAGCATCCACCACAACGGTGAACTGGGTGACAAAGAAAGAGAATTTCAGCAAGCCATTGGTTAAAGAAACTCTCCTTCTTGACATATTCTTTGTATTGACCATTAACAATTTGTGCGGACACCAGTCACAGTCACAGAAGACTAAAAATAAAATGAGTGCTTATAATAGATCACCAACTATACAAGGCAACCTTAAATAGTTACTTCCAAATGTAATATTTTTTTATCTGTGCCGTAATTAAATGTGTTCCTTCACGGCCAGGGGCGGATTCAGCCCATTTGACCCTCAAGTTTAAAAAAAAAATATTAATATATAGACCCACAAAAGTTGTTATTAACATATATGCCCAAGTCTATCACTAGATTTTAAAAAAATGAGAATTATTAGACATATATTTAGCCCACCAAAAACTTATTATTAATATATATATTCTAAGTCCACATCATATTAAAAGTTTAAAACTCTCTTAACTTTCTTCCGCCTCCACCTATTTTTTATGATTTTATCCTCAAAATTCTTGACTCTCATTCTCTCATTCTCTTCCTCATGCTATTCAATCTTAAAACTTTTAAGACTAAAATTGTTGAAGCTTTCACTACTCAAGATATCACAATTAGCTCTGTTTTCTGTTTTATCAGTTTATGTATGTACATTGCTCATTTCAATTTAGTTTATTTTAGGGTTGAATCATACTTTCTTTTTTGGAGGTTTTTTATTCTAATTTGAGGGGAAAAGACATAGATCTTGTGAGTTTATTTTGTATTTTGTGTCTAAGAATGAACTTGCTTTCCCAAATTAAAACTTTAACTATATTTTAAAAGATGTTATTCTTCACTTTTCACCCACCAATTTTATACATTTCAATCGTCACAATTCTGCTACTCAAAATAAATAAATAAATTTGAATTACTATCTTTGTTTATATCAAGAAAATTCTTTTTTTATTTTATTTTATTAATTCATATTAATAGTCAACACAATGTTGACTTGATTTAAGTTTTGGTTGACTTTAACTTAGGTTAGGTCTGGTCAAAGTCATGAAAATTTATATTATAATCTTTAGAAGCAAAAAAAAAAAAAAAACAAAAAAAAAAAAAAAATTAAAAGAAGGTTTTGCTCAAGGTTTAATTAACACATTTGCTCAAAATTTTGCTTCTCATGAATTTATTCAAATATGAAAGTATTGTGTTATTACATTCTTTTTTCTCAGGTTCTTGATATTGTATTATTTTCTTTGCTTAAAGTTTCATAGTTTTTTAAAGTTTTTACTAGTTGTTTAGCAAACAATGACGAAGTCGCAGAGGCCCCACTCAACAAAAATCCTGGATCTGTCACTGTTCACGGCTTATGGGACTAGGAAATCTATGTTATATTGCCGCTAAAGCATAATTACTCACCTGTAACACCTTTTCTAATTGTTAAAGTAAATGATATTTTGCTGGAAACTATTTTGCAAATTAGTTTTGAATCGTTGGCGCCAGTTTTGAGCTAAAAAAAGGGTTGTCTATCAAGTGCAATTTTTGTCTAATTTGGAAATGTAATGTGTGATGTTTTAAGTGAAGACAGCCGGTGATTAAGGTCAAATATCTCAATGCAATTTGTGTTAGTTAAGAGTAGTTTAGATTGTATTATATTTAAAGATTATTCTCACTGAAAAGTTGTTGTAACAGTGATGCAATATGACCATATATCTCCCTGTTTTGTGAATGAAAATACAGCCTTTTTTTTAAAGTAGTTTTATTATACTCTTATTGTTTTCAGCTCTCTCATCCACGAAAAACCTTTCTTTCTCTTAGCTAATTGAACTCTGAAAAACCAATACTAATGCAGCAATAGCTGGAAAGATATTTTGGGTGCAACAAGTTGTCTGTTTCACATCACTGGTGTCAGAATTTTCATTTTGTAATTAATATTCATTAATTTTATATAGCACATGTTAGTTTNGGTATTGATGATAGCTCCTCTTTTCCAGCAATTGATTACGCATTCAACCAAATATACCACTCCATAACCTTGTTGCTCTATAGGCCTCCTTCCACAAGCCACCTCAAGCATGAAAGCCCCAAAAGCAAATACATCTGTGCTGGTAGTTGCCTTTCCAGTTCTAATGAGCTTTGGAGCCAAATAACCTACAGTTCCCACAAGGTTAGTGGTTTGCGGATTGCTATAGTGGTCATATAGTTTAGCTAGGCCAAAATCACCTAACCTCCCATTTAGTTCGGCATCCAGTAGAACATTACCCAGTTTTATATCTCTATGTAGGACAACTTGTTCCCATTCTTCATGGAGGTAAAGAAGGCCAGAAGCTATTCCTCTAATGATCGAAATCGCTAAAACCAATTAAGATTTGGCTCTGTATTGCTGTGTAATAATTTGTCCAGGCTTCCATTTGGCATATAATCATAGACCAAAATAAATTCTCCCTTTCGCCTGCAATAGCCGCGGAGTTGCACCAAGTTCCTATGCCTTAGCCTTCCCATGCTAACAATCTCAGCCACAAATTCCTTCATCCCTTGTTTCAAATCGTGAGAGACTCTCTTGACTACGATTTGTTCATTAGAAGGAAGGACGCCTCTATAAACCTTTCCAAAACCTCCTTTTCCAATAAGTTCTTTGTCCTTGAAACCTTTGGTTGCTTTATAGAGATTCTTGTAGGGGAACCTTTGAGGACCATATTCCCTTTCCCAGTCTTCACATACTTCTTCATATTTTTTTTTCCATACAATATAAGCAGCTATAATGCCTACTATCAACAACACAGCCACTGCTACTACAATCAAAACAATCATTAGTAGTCCACGTTTCTTACTTGCTTTCCCGTGTGCAGGAACAGGAGGAAGCTTGGAGAAATCAAGGTTTTGTGCTTGTCCGCTTCTGTTAAAGCTCCATCCTAGAATATGATGGTCACTTGTAATTGTGCCAGTTGTTGCTGAGAAACCGACATACATAGACTGATATGACCCGCCTCGACCCTCCCTACCCCATAAGCTCCAGACGCACCTCTGAGACTCGGGCGGCCGAGACGTGCCGTGTGAGAATCTAAAAACCTGTATTCTAAATACTTTTTTCATTAAAACATTCGTTTGGATTCGTTTTGAAAGCATAAACACATAAGATATGTATATGTATACATTTGAAAATCTGAAAGCTAACTTGTACGTTCATAAAATCCAAAAACGGATGGTATCAGATATTCATATCTTTTATAATCAACACAGGNAAGTCCCCTAGTTTTTAAGGTTTGAGAATCGAACCTTGAGAACTTCACAATTATGTCTTGATCTGATATGTCCCGAATGACACCTGGTCGATCTGACCTGGCTACAAGGAGGTCGTAACATATTTTCGTAAGAGCGACCTAATATGGTCTCCTTCCACAAGGTCGGCGACTTGGATTAGACCATATTCTGTGTGTGCCTCTTATCTTAACCGAGGTCCGCGACCTGGTTATACTTAGCATATTTCTACTGAAGGCAAGCAATCACATCGCTCTGCAACTGACATGCGACAAAGAGTGTTCTTTTCCAACGACCTCTTCAGATGTTATCCGTTGCGCTTTGCAGCTAATCCATTAATGAAGTACCCTTTATTCTGACAAACGTGCCCTGTGCGCAATAAGTGTCATCCATGCGCATTAAATGTAAGCCATGCTAAAATGACATTCTTTATCAAGTCAATTAATGAGAGTGCATTAAATGTGGAGGAGGGAAACGAACGGTCGCTCGATTATTTCAATGGAGTGAAGCAACGATTGAATTTCTCAAAGCGTGGCGATTACTCCTTCTCGCTGATTGATGACACATGGTCGCGATCAACAGCGAGAGATGATATCCGCCCACATGTCGCTTAGCCTCAGGAAGGCCAATCGCCACTTTCTCCACTATAAAATCCCAGGCTTGCCTTAAGCAATGTCACCACACTCATTCTTTTAGAAAAAGCAAGAAGCTTTCGCGAGACCAGATTATCCATCCTTTGAGTTGGTGCGTATCTGACGTTCATAGCAGAAAGTTCAATCCTCACACCCAAGAGGTAAGGAAGATCCTTCCATTACTTTCCTTTTTCTGTTTTGTAGATAACCATGCGATAACAATGGGTGTTTATGGGCGGTCGAATGAAGAATGAGCTTTTTTCATGAATCTTTGGAGGTGGTCCCCAAGGATTCTTAGGTTTTTTCTAGGGTTTAAGGAAGACACATTGTGTTTTTCTGTTCTTCCACGTCATCATATGAAACTTTGTACGAAGACTGAGTAATCCCTACATGTCGCTCTTTTTCAGACCGTAGAAGAGATGGACCCTTCAGCGACCAAGATAGACAAGGGGACAAGCTCACCAGTGTAGGATGCCCTAGCCAGTCCCTTGCAAGAAATTATGTCAGTGGCCACAGGAGAGGAAATACAAAAAGCAGTTGACCAATACGCACTTAGCGTAGACGTCTACCAATACAGGACGCATATAGCTCGGAATCCGCCGGAGGAAATGGTTGCGATCTCCGAGAATATCTTCAAATATGGAGAATTGATTCCCTTCCATCCCTTTATAAGGTCGATCCTCGATCACTTTGGGGTCGCAACTTTACAACTGACGCCCAACACGTATATGATAGTCGTGGCTATGTATATCACGTGTGGCGAGAATCGTCTCGGTGAGTTAACTGTGCTAGAGCTCGCTTGCTCATATTATCTGAAAAAGAGCAAGGACAAGGACTTTTATTACCTCTCGAAGCGATCTACGATTGAGGGAAGCATATTCAATTACCCCAGCAATGTCGAGGCATATGAAACGAAGTTTTTCTTTTTTTAATTACGATGGCATTTGCCAATTTAGGGAGTCGAGTAGGTCTTCCCTTCTTTTGCTTGGTGAATTTTTCTTTTCTTTAAATCTTTGCTAACGAACTCTTTCGTTTCTTCGCAGTAAACAAGACAACCAGGTTGACGGCTCTCATTGACTTTAACAAAATAACAGCTTTTGGTCTTCTAGTTGATTAGAGTCGCGATGCAAAACTGCTCCTGACGACCTCTAACCTGAGGAAGTATGGCTTTTTTTAATTCCAAAGCAACCTTGGAATCCTTGCCGAGTAAGTGTTTGTAGCCTTAGCCAATCTTATTTTTTGCATGCAGCGAATTGTTTTGCTAACGATATTCACATGCAGTGATCATGCCACCCAAAGTGCCCAAGTTGTTGAGAGCCAGGGGATTCACCTTTCCTCAGGTCGGTGCCACAAGACCAGCCGTGGTGAGCCCCAATGGCACCTCTATCGAAGGAACGTTGGTGGGAGCACCAACTCCCGTCGAATAGCCAGCGAACGCTCCTTCGCCTATAGCTACTCGTCCTAAGCAGAAGATTATGGCCTAAAACTCCAAGAAATAGAAGCAGTTGCAAGTTGAGGAATCAAAGTCCAAGCCAGAGGGTTTAGGCATTTAGCTTGGGAGGTCGCAGTCTTACTAGGCCTTTTGCTCATGAGGGCAGCCCAGGCACGTAACCAGTATTACACTTGCCCCTGAGGGTTCACGCAGGGGGCAAGGGGAGACCACAGCTCTTGAGAAGAGAGCAGGAAAAGAGACGGTGGGCGAGACGCCACCTGTTGCGGGAGCTGGCACACTTGTGTTGGACTCCAAGGGGCAATTCCCGGAGCACTTGTAGTCGGTGATGTTCACCCTCTTAAAGTGTCAGCTCGTCGAGGCTTTTGAACAGTTCGTGGCCTCCAACCCTATGGACCTGATGACCATTGCGTTCCAGCTGCAAAGCTAGGTAAGAGGGTTCGTCCTTATTGAGGACTTTCTTATACTTGTTTTTTCTATGAAATGGAACTTACCCCCTTGTTCCCTTTGCTATGCAGTCTCTGCTCGCTATGCACTTGGCCCAGCAAAAGACTCAACTGGGAGCTGCTGAGGGGTAGTGAGCTTTTTGGTAGTGATCACGGCTAAGAGTTTGGCCTCGGCCCACTTGGTGAAGTAATCCACCGCGACCATCGCATACTTGACCCCTCCCTTTCTAGTTGGCATGGGTCCAATAAGATCAATTTCCCATATGGAGAATGGTCAGGGGCTGGTCATGGTTATCAGCTGGTAGGAAAGAGCTCACAGTATGTTTGCGAACCGCTGGCATTTGTCACACTTTTTTACAAGTTGAAGGTATCCTCTTGGAGTAGGGGCTACTAGTATCCTTGACGAACAACTTTGTTAGCGAGGGATCGCGCGATGGTGTGGTTACCGCAAATCCCTTCATGTATCTCCCTCATGATATAGTCTGCTTCCTCATCAGTTACACATTGAAAGAGAGAGCCGCTAAACCCTCACTTGTATAATTGATCTCCTATAAGTATGTAAAAATCAGCTCTAGTCCGCATGGTTCTTGCCTCGATCTTGTCATTGGGCAAGGTCCCATCTCGGAGATATTGAATAATTGGGGTCATCCAGGACACTAATTTTGTCACATTCAATGCCTGTTCGGGCAAGTTGATGCTAGGGATCTCTATGAACCGAATAGGAATACTCTCTGGTTCATCTGAGTCTAGCGACTTAGCTATTTTTGCCAAGGTATCTATGACAGAATTACTGTCTCTAGGAATCTGCATGATCGTGAAGTGCTTGAATGGCTCGAGCGCAACCTTAGCTTTCTTCAGATAACTAACCATGTTTTCTTCCTTGGCCTAATATTCACTCAAGATTTAGTTAACAACCAGCATGGAGTCGCTGTGAATACTGATCGCGGTCGACCCCATTTCTTTGGCCAACCGTAAACCAGCGAGCAATGTTTCGTACTCGGCTTTGTTGTTGCTTGCTTTGAACCCAAATCGAAGAATACCGTGGATGCAAGTCCTTTCGGGACTAAGGAGGAGAAGGCCCACCCCGGCCCTTTTCCTGGTTGAGGATCCATCGACATAGGGGCTCCAGGTCGATAGATTCTGAATGGTTTCCTGGGTGAATTTGCTAGCCTGTTGCTCGGATTTTTTAACCAATTGGTGTGAGAACCCCGAAATGAAATTGGCAATAACCTGCCCTTTAATGGTTGCTTTCAGTATGTACTGCAGATCAAACTAACTTAGTTCCATCGCCCACTTGAGCAACTTACCTGAAGCCTCTGGTTTTTGGAGAACTTACTTGAGCGGATAGTTGGTCAATACATGGATTGTGTGGGTGTGGAAATAAATTTGCAACTTCTTGGAGGAGATCAGCAGGGCATAAGCTAATCGCTCCATTTCTGGATACCATATTTTGGCATCTAGCAGACATCTGCTTATATAATATATCGGCCATTGGACCTTGTCTTTTTCCCGAATTAGAGCTGCATTGACCACAAGCTGAGAGACGGACAAATGCAAAAGAAGAATTTCTTGAAGGAGAGCCTTGGACAGAAGAGGTGGCTTTCCAAGGTACTCTTTAAAGCTCTAGAAAGCCTGTTCGCATTCGGGAGTCCATTCGAACTTCTTGTTGGCCCTAAGTATATTAAAAAAATGGTAAGTAGCGATATGTTGCCTTTGATATGAAACGACTGAGAGCCGCTATTCGACCATTGAGACTCTGAACCTGTTTTCGATTGGTCAGGCTTCTCATATCAAGGAGAGCTTGGACCTTTTTGAGGTTGATTTCTATTCCCCTCTGGTTAACCATATGCCCCAGGAATTTTTCCGAGGATACACCAAACAAACATTTGAGAGGATTGAGCTTCATTCTGTACCTCCGAAGTATACCAAACATCTCGGCGAGATGTGTTATGTGATCTGAAGCAACATGTGATTTGACCAACATGTCATCAATATAGACTTCCATTGATTTTTTGATCCGCTTGGAAAACATTCGGTTCACCAGTCGTTGATAAGTCGCCCCAATGTTCTTTAGTCCGAAGGGCATAACCTTATAGCAATACAACCCCCGATCTATAACAAAAGAGGCATGCTCTTCGTCCGATGTGTACATCAGAATCTAATTATATCCCGAGTAGGTGTCCA